CCTCCCCCACACCCCGCCCCCTGCCCTTCCCGAGGGCAGCAGCCGCGGCGGCCCGGAGATAGCGCTGGCGCGGCGCGGGCTCTGCCTGGGCTAGTGGCACCGACTTGGGTATGTTTCTTACGAATATTACACGCGGAGCAGCGTCTGGTCGGGTGTGATGAGGGGTGCTGGGGGCGGGCGGGAGGGGAGACCTAGGTGGCCGGGGAAGCGCCGGCCGGCGTGGGGGATGGGGCTGAGCCGAGGGGAGGGACCGCAGGGAGAGAGGGGAGCTCGGCGGCGGGAGGAGGGCGGCTTCCCCCACCCCCAGCGCCCTCCCTCCCCTCGTTCCTGGGCGTCACTAAAGTCCAGGAAAATTATGCTAATGAGGACAAACGGCTCTCACAAAGGGGCTCTCTGGCTGGGCTCTATTTCTTAGGAATCCGTTTGAGAAACCACCCAACCCTCGGCCTTGGATATTACGGGCTGTGGGACAAGAGCAAGAGAGAACCAGACATGAGTTCCCCAGACTTTGGGCAGCTTACTTCACCTGCCACCCCCCAATCTTCGGGTTACTGGGATAAGGCCTTTCTCCAGAGACTTCCCCAAGAGCCAACTGGACTGTTGTTGGTTATCTTTTTAGGCAGAAACTAGTGATATCCTAGCAGCCAGGAGGAAAGTGTGCTGGGGGAGATACACACTTCTCCCAGCAGTGAAATGAGCTCTCTGGACTCAGGCACGCCGAAGGTTGCTTAGAACCCTGGGTCTCCATCTCTCTTGTGCCCATTGCACAGCGCAGACTCGCGGCTCACCCACGGGAAAGACAGAGAACGCTCTGACCCCAGCACAAACAGACATCCACGATATCTCGATCCTAATTAGTGGAGTGGCCTCGATGAGCAGAGGAGAGGCCCGAGCTTTTCTGCTCATATGCCACAACTTTAAAGAGGATGGTATTCCTCCAAAACCTCCCTAAACTCCCCAGGTTCTGAAGCAAACTGCAACAGCACAAGTGCGGCTAGAAGAGAGAAAGGGAGCTTTCGTGCAATTGCAAGGTGTCCACGGCGGGTCCTTCTCAAAGGAAGGTGTTAAAAATATAAGTAGTATGTTTAAACTGTCAGGGATCCAAAGTGTCACGTTAGAGCAAAAACAAAGCCAGGGGGAAAAGGAGAAATCAAAAAACACTTCGGGCCAGGGTGGCCTCATGCATACCAATGGTTTTTGTCATTTATGGCTGGGCAAGATTTATGACTCGGCGCCCCAAAGCTGTAAACAGAGCGCAAAACAGCAAACACTTGTTCCTTATGGCACATTGCGGCGGCGCAACTTGAAAGGGGGAACCGGGCCGCGTAGGAGGTGAGAGCCAGCCGCAAAAATCCGCTGGGCGGCTTTTTCTCTTCAAACCTGCCGGGTTCGGATGTGGGATTTGAAGAAAGAAGGCGTGGGTCAATAATCAACCCGCACTTTCTCCTCCAAACTGCTGACGCGACTCTCAGCGCCTTCTCAGCTAAACCAGCTGCAGGGGAGGCCAGCTCTCCGTGAGAACCAGCCCCAGGGAAGGGATCGTCTGGGCGGAGGATATGCGAGCTAGGGCTGGGGCTCCCGGAGCGCATACCTTTCCAGAGCGCCAAGACCAAGCCGCGCAAACCGCAAGGACTGAACCTGAGGAGCCAAGGGAGATCTGAGCAGGAAGCTCATCTGGGCCCAGGCCTCAGCCCTCCCCTAACTAGGTGGCTTCTGGGCTTCGGGCCGCCTGGAAGAAGTGGGGCTCAGACTTCCAGTCTAAGATCTGGCGTCCCGGCTCGAAGACTGCCGGTGGCCCTGCCTCATGACTCTGCTGAAATCCAAAGGACTGGCTTTGGAGCAGATGAAATGATTAAAAATACTTTATAACGGCGGAAGGTTTTCGTTGGTTGGTTATTCTTTTTAAAGAGAAAATACCTTTTTGATTTCTGCTTCCAGACATTACCCACCACAGCTGTGCCCTTTCTAGGCAAATTCCGCAGCAGTTCACCCGGCTCCTCCAAACCCACCAAGCCTTTCTTTGGAGAGGACAGGGTGGATCCCCGAACTTCCTTAGGTCCCCATGTTTCCTGATCTCTCATCCAAGAGAACTAGAAGAAAAGTTTATCAGCAGTAGAAGAATATTTGGAGCAGCAAAGGTGCCTGATGGTTCCTTTCTACATCAAGAGGGTGTCCTGCATATCTCTGAGAGGGCCTCAAAGCTCCAAGACCATCTGTACAGCCAGAGAGGAAGGTGAGGAGTGATTATTGGCAAGAACTGGCATGGAAATCCTAAAACAAGGAGGCAAATTACTGAGGAAATATACGTGCCTCTGAGGGTGAGGCTGGAATTTTGAGGGTAGAAGGGGACTAGCTTTAGCTATTATGGAGTGGCTTTAGATCTTTCCTGGGAGGAAAAACCAACCTGTGTTCTATAAAAGCAGCTATTGGCTTCTCACCATGCATACTTTGATACAGAACCAGCTCAGAGAGTCCATCACTAGATATTTATTCAAGCAGCTGGCAGTGAAGTGACAATAAAAAGATGCCTCTAACAAACCTCTATTCCCTTTCTCATTCTTTTTAGTGAAACTATATTATTTATGAGTCTTTAACTGGGTCAAAAATGCACCAGAACTGGGTCATAAATCATATGAAATGCTGACAAGTAATTGAACAGCAATTAAAGCTTACATTTTATTTCCAAGGGGTGTTTTAGAGCACTTGAAATGGCCTCAGTTAAACATGGTTAGCATGGAGGCCAGCTGGGGAGGGCAGAATGAGGCCTTCCATTCTGGGAAGTAAATCTCACTCAAATAGGGGAAGCCTGACTTTATTTTTTAAGCAAAGAAAGAAATGAGTTTTTTAAAAGTCACAGAGACAAATTAAATTCCTAACTCCTTGTAAGCACCTTTTCCCTGCTCCATGAGCAGAGGAAAGCAGGAATTTCTTTCACCTTTCCAAGGAGTTTCTACTCTTCCCAGGACTACGGGGTCCCCAAAGGCCAATTGGTCTAGGCTTTCCCAGTAATTTAGAAGCATATGATTTGACTCTTTTCTGCCTTCATCCTGGCTGCTGCTCTGTTTCTGGGACTCTGAAACCAGAGAGATGTCTGCCTCTGCTTCCTGAAGACTCTGCCTCCAGCCTTCCCTCCACCCCAGGGTACACGGCCAATTCTTGAATCCTAAGAGCTCGGTTGGGAGCATATAAAGAGCACCCAGCACATTGATGAAACCCAAACCTAGCCCCTGCATCCTTCTAAATTCAAAAATAACTGAGGATCCAGGTAATAAACTCGCTCACCACCACCCCAAGCCTCTCCTAGGTCTGAGCTGTCTTCCATCTCTCCCAGGCAGATGGTGTTCAGGGAAACAATGGCACATCGTCCGGGTCGGCGCCTTAGGTCGGGCGTGCTCACGGGGAAGCATGCCCCGCAACTGAGCTCTGAATAAAGTGGCTGGAAGCATCATCAATAAAATGGCAGCACATCTGCACATTTCCCTCATCGATTTTCCTCTCCCATCTGCTTAGGCTGCCCAGGTCAGCCCAAACCCTCCATCCCCAACAGGCAAACACAGCTAACCCTGGAGAGATTCCTCTTCTCTGCTACCAGCCTCCACTCCTTCCATGAAATCTCGCTCTTCAAGTGCGCTGACCACCTCTACCTCGGCCTATGCCGGCAGCTCTGCTGCTGCCAGCACTTAAAGATCTTCCTTCTACTGGGTGTCAGCTCCTGGGACTCCAGCCTTGCCCGCTAGCTACAGTGGACAAAGCCACCCTCACACTGAAGATTATGGGCCCACCTAGTAACCCCTAAGCGCCCCCTCCATTATACCCTGCAATACTTTTCAAGGAATTAAATTTAGAGTCTGAGGCTACTAGAAATCCTTTAAATGGTTTCAGTTCTAAATGAGAAACAAAGGAAGAGAAAGGTTGAGGGTCCTGTCCACGAGCCAGGGACTCCTTGCCTGACCTTTGTCTCCCACAGCTATAACTCATTGTAGGTATGAACAATCAGCGGAAATACCTTAAAATAAATTCCATCCTCCTGGTGTGGCCTCCAGTCCCGTCGGCTGGCTAGCTCGCCCCGAACTGCTGGCTAGCTCGCCCCGAACTGCTCCATGAGCGCTGAAAACTGCAACCCGCTCTAAGAGTGCTCTCCGGAGAAGGGGAAGGAGAAGGAGGAGGTGGGTGCGTGGGGGTGGGGGGAGAAAGCTCTTGCTCTGTAGAGAATCTAGAAAACGTAATCACAGGCAAAGACTGCCTGGGTCTCCGCTTCAAATGCTACAATAATGCACTGTATTATGTGCTCACGTGGTCATACGTCAACTTAAATCCTTTTATTTGAAAAAGGGAATTACTGAAGGAACCAGGTTTCTCAGCAGAACATTTGGCTTTGTGGGAGGGGAAGTGAGGGACCTTGTCCAGTAGTCTGTAAGAGTTCTGAGTAGTAGGATGCTGGGGGCAACCCCTACACACACACACACACACACACACACACACACACACACACACATACACACCCCACACAAGGCTGCTCATCTCCACTTATATTTTTTTACATGCACACCAAAACACAAGGAAACAGCAATGCTGACCATATTAGGCTCTACAGTATTTAACTTTCCTTATCGTTTCCCATCCATGGACAAGTTGAATCCAGCACACCCAAGTCCCCCAGTCACCTCTGGCTCAGAGGCCAGAGTATCAAAAGGCAAGAGCCAACCCCACAAATGACTGGCCTAGTCAGCAGACTTCCTCACAGCCTGCCATTGTATGGAGTTAGCTAACACACATGCCATAACATCATAGCCACAGCAGAAACTAAAAAGTCCTATAATTACCTGACAAATGTTAAAGTTTCTCCTCTGAGTCCAGTTGTTTTTGCTCAGTGGGAACCCAGTAGGCAAGGTGTGCTTGGTAATAGAGTGGTGGGTCAGAGTTTAGCAAGATCTGGAGGGACCTAATGCCCTGGATAAGCCCATACTTATGCATTCCTTCAATGCATAGCTGAGTGATATTGAAATTATAGGTTTCTAATGAATAAAAATGTAATGGGAAATGATCTAATTGCCTCTACAAGAGGGAACAAAAGGTATCAACTTACACTGATGTCCCTTGGGCCAACCTCTAAGACAACCTGGGAACCTCTCAGCAGGAGGGTCTGTTTGCCCTCCTGTAAGACAACTTCAAGTCTATCATCGGAAGCTGAACTGAACCAATTCTGCTCAGGAAGAACCTGGCTAAAACACATTGACACCCCCCTACACACACACACACCTCTAGGCTTGCCTTCTGCTTGATAACATTGCTAACTCCTTTCATCAGCTGTTTAAAAAGTTCCCCCTTTCCAGCATTATTTTCTGAATTTTGAGCACCCTAAGGACAGTGGGCTCCTCATGCCATACATATTCTTTTGTTCCTTGAGAGTGAGTTTTCAGCTGCTTATATCTAAATGTAAGGTCTTACAGCAGCAGCTCCAGGATGCTATGGATAATTCCTCCCTTTTTCTCTTTCCCTGAAGGGGAACAGAAGATTCATTGTGAATCTAAAGCCCCAAGTAAGGGGGTCTGGCTATATCATGGACCCAATTGAGAAGGACAATAAAAAAGGACATAACCTCTTGGAAGCAAGAGCTGACCTAGGCTGGTGGTAGTATTTCCATAATATTCTGCCTAGTAAATAGCTGGAAGCAAAACTTTATGTGAATTTTCCCAGCTCTGTTCTAAGCCAGAAACTAGAAAGTGAGACCCATGGTAACAACTTGCTTTCTCTGATTTGGAAGATGGGGAACAGGGCCAGGGGCTGGTTTCCAAAATATGTTCTCTTTTCCTGAAGGATTCAGTCTATTCCTCCTCCTCCCCTTTGCTCCTTATGCCCCCTCCCCAATCATTCACACTGAGTTTTCCAGATACCCTAGAAAATAACCTGAAAGGGAAGTATTCCTCAGTTGCTAACAACTACTCACTCCCCAAGTTTCTACAAAGATATCAACTAGGGCCAAGGATTTACCTCAGTGGTTCCACTGCCTGCCTCAAAAGCGCAAGGACCAGAGTTCGATCCCTGGTACCAAACAACAACAAACAACAACAACAACAACAAAAACCAAAGGTATCAACTATAAGATGAGAAAGGCCTCCCTTCAGAATTCTCAGAACAGTTTTGAGCAAATCGAAACTCTTGAGGCTATTAATCAGTAGTAGAAGTCATTGGTACTGCTTCAGAGAAATGCCTTAATGCCAGCAAGGCCCAGAGGCATCCCAGCTCTGGGCTGGGGCCTCCCTGCCTCGGACATCCCAGTTAATGTTCCAACTGCTGTTTAACAATTAACATTAAAGACTTGGGATGGAATGGAATGGGGTGATTTGGTGGGATGAGAAGGGAAAAATCTGAAAAAACAAAAGGAACTCCAATTTTTGAGATGAAAAGCAACTTCCCTGAGGGCAACCTTGGGCTACACAACCAGAGCTGAGACTCTTCCTTCACCATTTTGAATTCTACTTTTCTGAAGCAAAGCTATGGGCCTTTTAAAAACCCAGAAGTCAGAACTCCCTCCACTCACTCCAGCCTCCAACCTGTCCAGGACTGGGAACTTCATGCTATGATCCAGGCCCCTAAAACCAAAATAGAGGAAAGTTGGCTTGGAAGGAGTAGGCATCCAGGGATATAGACTGTGAGTCAATATTTGCAAGGCTGTTGGCAGATTAGCTATATCTATACTCAAACAATGTAATCTGATTTCCCTATCAAAACTACACTTAACATTTTTATTAACTCTAGTGTTTTTCTATTCAGCCTCAGGTAAGGCTCTCTGAGCTCACTCTGTGCATGTGTGTGTGTGTGTGTGTGTGTGTGTGTGTGTGTGTGTGGATGATAGATCATTATTTAACATGAGATATTTCCTGTGGGTAGGATTGCAGTACAAATGGGCTCCAAGTTCTCTGGACACATGTGGATGTAGATATCATGTTTTACACATGGCCCTGAACTCCTGCAGCTATTTATACTTGTAACTGTTCTGTTGTTTGCAGAGATGCAAATCATATGTACAGACTGAGTTGCAAGTTCCTGAAATATCCCATCTATATTTGATATAAACAGACATACAGTAGTTGATAAAGTAACCCAGTTACTATTACTCTGTTTACTTCCTATCTGATAAAATAATAATTGTATCTAGAACACCACACCAGCCTTAAAGCATCACTGAATAGCATGTTTACAATTAATTAACAACTTGATTTCTATCTGAAGAGCAAATTTCAGGAAAAACTTGGGGCTAGGGAATACAAACCAAAACCTCAAAACTTTAACACTTCAAAACTTTTTAAAAGAAATAATTCCCTAAAAGAACAGAGCAAACTCAATTCCTTTACACCAAGCTTCTTAACCCAGCAGCCCCTCCCCCAAATAGGCACGTAATTTATGGATCTTTTACAAGGTAATAAACCACAGTAATTACCTCCCTGCATCCTGAACTAAGAGAACAAATTATGCCACAACTTGAAAAGAATTTTAAAGAGTTTTCTCTTATTCCAAACAGGAAAGGAAAACATTGAGACAGAAGAAGACTGGATCTTTTCCCATAGGAAGAACCATGATCAGCCCTGTTGAAAGACTGCAGAAGACCCACTACTTGTGAAGGCCCACACATTGGAAATATGGGAACTTCTCTCCTGCCACAGAGAACAAAAGGATCAGAGAAACTGAAAAGCACAAGGCGATAAGGCAAGTTTTCTCAACCAAGAACCAGGACTGGTGACAATTTCCAAAGAAACAGTTGCCTTGGTGGACAAGCAGCTGGGCCCACGCAGTAGATGCCAGGCCCATGGCCTCTACTTGCTTTTACCTTACAGTTCCCCAGTGGTTTGTTTGGGACTTGCAGGAAAAAACAAACACATCCCCTCTGCCTCTTCTAACCCCATCTTTGGCTTCTGCAACCACTCTCCTCCTGCCCATTACTGGCTTTGGGGCAGATTCTTTGTCTGCCTAAAGCCTCGCATTGTCCTGAGTGCAGCTGAAGGTAACCCAGCTCCAAAACTTCTCTGAAGTTAAATATTGACCAGAACCTCTTTCAACCTGCTGTAGTTGCCAGGGGCTGGTAGGGCAAACTCTTCCTAACTGAGTGGTGCAAAGTCCCTGAGAAGAGTTTTGGCTCATTGCTTACCTCCAAAGATGTTTAAATCTGGACCAGGAATTGTTTTTAGCTCCAGGCACTCAGGGAATCCTCTTATCCCGTGTCCAGGCACTCTACAGACAAATAAACAGCAGGGGGTGAATGGTGGCTGCAAGGGAAGGGAGTTGGAGGACTGGAGTTGGAAATGTGGCCTGAGCAGGCACCAGGATGGTCCCAGGGGTGACGCGGGCACGGAGGAGTCACCAGGGCACTCGTCCATGCGATGGCACTCGTAGCTAGAAATGTTCCAGTCTACAAATGACCCGAAGATGGTGATTTATTTTTGTAAAATAAATACATACTCCATCTCCTCCGCACCCACACTCTCTCCTTTTTCATTCTTTTATAGGGGAGCGGGGAGAAAAATGGACTAGATGACAGAGGAAGATAGGAAGGAGGTGGAAGAGGCTTTGCTGTTGGTGTGGACTCAGCTAGGAGGGCTCCTCACGCACCACAACTTGGGGAATGTGAATGCATGCTTTATTTTCTTTTGCTAACAAAGGGAAGCCTTGTCTGGAAGCATTCAATCATGGACTCTCCCGAAACCTCACTAATAGTGTTCATTTCTGTTGGCGCGAAATCAGACTCAGGCTCAGTCCACAGACCAGAGGCAGTTTGGGAGGTTTTGTCCTCTGTTTCATTCAAGCGCTGGGCGGGCCACTTCTTGGTCCTACTGGGCTGGCAGGCCAGCTACTGTTGCTGGAAACTGGGCAAGACTAGGGCAGGTCACTGGACAATACTCCATCTGGTTCTGCTTTGCCTTGTGTAGCAATCAGGAATCGCAAAATGCCTTGATTTTGCTGTAATCTCCCACCTCACAATATTTGCAACCCTCTCTAGAGCTCTGTCAGCAAATCTGACCCTGGAACCCTCAGCCAACTTTCTGGGGGCAGGAGACCCTGGGGAAGGAGAAGAGAATCTACTGGTGAGTTCTGCTGGGACTTTATGGGGCATTGTTTTTATAGCCCTAACCCTGAATCCACCAGCCCTTTACCCAAACCTAGGTAACCTCCCAGACTCTGACCTGCTCCATAACAGCCTTCTTCTGTCTCTCCTGCATCCATGTGAGAGGGGATACCAAATAGCTGACAAGTCCTCTGACTCCTGGCTTCAGAATACCGAACAAGTGGAAGCAAACTTACAACTGTCTTCTGCCACAACTCCACCTGAAGCCTTTAACCTCCATCCCTGCTTGAGACTCAGAATCCACGCTGGGCCCTTTTCCCTTCTTCAAACTTGCCCTTCCTGTCTTGAAAGGGAGAGCCCCCAGCCTTGGAGCTCCTGGCATGAGCCCGAGTTGAGTGGGGATTAGACATCCTGCACTTTGCTGCTCAATTTCGCTCCTGAAAGATCCACTATGCCACCATGCACCGCCACCGCCTCCGCCGCAGCTGCCGCCGCCACCACCACCACCACTGTGAGTCAGGCTGAGTATTGTAATTATTATGGTTATTATTATTGTCGCTATTTGCTTATCCCGAAGTCTAATATTCATGGCTGGTGTTCCCCATAAATCCTTCAGATTAATGAGTCAAAGAGAGATGTTGCCTAGGTCTCTACCTCTGCAATGGCCGCTGCCGCGCCGCCGTGGCCTTTTTCTCCGCGGTTTTGGCGTTCGCTTGCTCCCTCGCTAGCCCGGCGCGGTTGATTTATGAACGCCCGGAAAATTGAACAAAGCTGCGCGCCCGTCCTGTGGTATCTCTGCAGCCTTCCCCAGCGTGAATCTGAACATTACCAACTGTCTGCGCATCCGTCCCACTTCATCACCAAAGCCAGGATGTGACCACAAAAAAGAAAAAAACCCAACAACCCAAGCCCAAACTCACGTTTCCCCGACACAGCGCGCTCCCTGGACTCGCAGAAACCCTGCAGAAAAGCACCAGGACCCAGCCTGAGCCCGCCAGCTCTGGTTCTCCTAGCCACAGGGCTCTCTCCTTCCTTCCTGAAGGAGTTAAAAGCCTTTGAAGATAAATCTGAGGATGCGTGTATTTAAAAATCAAATAGGAAGTTGGAGTCTCACTTCAGAGATTCATTCCTAGTGAGGCCCTGACTACTCCGATCCATTCCTGACGATCTGCATTAATTATTTAATGAATCACGTGACCTCGGAGATTACAATTTCAATATCTCCCTGGAACAGGCGTTACACCTTTATCAGCTGCAACCAGGGTCCGTGTTTGGTTTTTTGTTCCCTAGGCCTCTGGAGCACATTCACCCTTGTGTTGATGGGGCAAGCAACCGCCAAAGAAATTACGGGTAGAACACAGCAGAATTAGTCATTATGGGGTGAGGAGCGTTGTGGACAGTAGGGAGCTCACTGCTCTCCAAGGCATCCTGAAGTCCATCAGCTCCTGAGACCAGTGGTCAGCCACCTGTCTGAGTGCCAAGTCTAGGGCAGTTTGGTTACATAATCTCCCAAGGCAGCTTTTCAGGTACATTGGGTAAGAACTTACCCTTCCAAATCCAGGTTACACACACTCCTAGCCTTTCACATCAAGGGTAAACCCAAATACATACTGTATCCCATTCTCTTGGAGGAATAGCTTCTGCTTTGAAAAAAATGACTGAGTTTACCACATCCGTGTCCAAGGTGAGATTAAAGGCTTTTCTCAGCCTACACACTCATTAACATAAGAAACGTTGGGAAGTGGAATATTCAACTGCCTCAGTTTCCTCATATGTAAACTGAGAAGACTGAACCCAAATGGCTTCCAGGTCTCTTTCAACTTGGACAGTCATTCATTCTGGATTCTCCTTCAACTCTAGGAAGCATTCTAGAGAGAAGGGGGCTGGCCTGAAAGGGAAGAGGGTGTGCTGAGTGAGTCTGGAGCCTTCAGAAGAGATGCCAGAATTCCAAGCCAGAAGTTGCAGACTAGAAGGTTTGATGACTTAATGCTATCAAGGAGACAGAACACACAACTCCCCCCCCCTTCCTGCTCCTCCTCCTCCCTCCATTGTTTCCAGATCCAGAGCTTATCCTTCGAGGTGCAAAGCAGTTACTCTTGGAGCAGTATGTTGTGGAGAAAAGGTATCAAGAGCATCAGTTAGGAAAGATGAGCTTGAGTTCTTCAAGCCCGAGGGTGCCCGGGAATGCAGAGACCAAGGAGGTGCCAAAGAGGCCCTATTGCTTGCACAGAACCCACTCATTCAAATGGGAAGCCCCAGGTTTCTATTCGCTTCATTCATTCTTTGGAGGTTTTCTTTCATTTTAGAGAGTTGATTTGTTTCTGTGCTGGCACAACTAGAAGGAAGGCAGCAGTAAGAAAAGCAACACAGTTTGGAAGTTTTGGGGGATCTAGGGGCTCAGGAGATATGGTGATTCCCATCCCTTAGGGAGAAGGGTGAGAAGTAGGGAGAATGGGGCACCCTGGGACAGCTGGATAGAAAGGCAGATATTGTGCAGCAGGCCTACCCCCATATATTTAGGGAATCTTCCCACGAGCTCCATCCTGGGTATTAAGTACTCTACTATGCCCGTCACAGTTGAATTCCTGCTGTAATAAAACACCGGGTATATGGTAGATTTCAGCAAAACTAGGGAAAAAAGCCTGCAAAGTGCCATTTTTCTTCAAGGGGGAGAGTGTTAAGTACTTAATTCAAACTGTGACCATTAAAGTGTCTCCTATCCGACTTAGGCTGATTTCAGATGTTGACAAAACTTTTATCTCCAGAGTCATGCACAGCTTGGCTCTGAGACTAAAGCAGATGAGTGTGTATTAAAGAGAGGGAGGGATAAAGATGGAGAGAGCAGGAGAGCATGTGTAAAGGTCATCATAACAGGAGAAATACAGAGCTTACACAAAATACTGTCTTTAAAGGTCAAGGGTTTGAGGGGTTAGTAAGGTTTACCTTAAAAAAAAAACTAATGAGATAGAAAATTTGTCCTCTCAATGAACTCTTATGGTTGTCCTAGCAGAGGGCAGACAATGCATGATTTTGAAGCACAAAGAGAGATTTCTTAAGCTGTTATTACAAGCTCCCTTAAAGGCAAAATCTGAAACAGACAAAACATTGTGAAGAAATGACATAATCAGTTGGATCACTTTTGATAATTTTGGTTTATAAAGCTTACCAATATCTTACCATTTTGAAAAAATGCCGCTTTATTCTAGAATATCACAAAAATGGTCTCAACCCTCTCCTCCTATTCTGGATAGACTACAAGAGCAAGAGAAAGAAATCACTCCCTTTATTTTCATACTACTGCCTCCAGCACGAAGCTAATGAATTTCCCTATACCCTTCCTCCCCACAAAGGAGAAATATAAGAATTTACCTTAAATGATGATAATCTGCCATTTGAGGTTTTGCAGCTTGACACTCAATTTCCACCAAGAGTCTAGGTATTTTTTTATTTTAGCAGATAGCCAAGATGCTATGTCTTTGCCTGAGACATTATTTGCAAGAAGATCTCTCTCTCCTTCACAGACTTTTCCCAGAGAATGCCTTTCAGAATTGCTGTTGAATTACAAAGAAGTATTTATTGTATGAGGTGATTAATGATTCCTGGGAAAATTGCTATTTTCAGCATGATTTAATTTCGTTTTACAAGTGCGTGTATAGGGGGAGGGTTAATAAGTTTCAGCAGCAGTTGCATTGCCTCCAGAAATGCCTGGCACCCATTCACACCTTATTAAATGCATTTTATCCCAGGTTTTTCCTGATTTGAGCCAGTGTGTGTGTGTGTGTGTTTGTGTGCGCGTTTGCCCCTGAATTTTCTTGGTCTCTTGCAGACTGGCACCCATCACTTCTCTCTCAAATCTGATTGTAGGTAAAGGGCCACCCTTGGCTGTATCACAGGCAATGCAGCAGAGGTGAAAGGGGTACCAGCACTGACACTGGCTAAGCATTTTACCACAAAGCAAAATGGGTCTTAAATTCCTGACATTGCAGAGATAGGTGAACACACCCTCTCATCTCCATTAAAATACTGACCTAAAAATTGCAACTTCTCAAGGCAGATTGACAATTATATCCTAGCATTAGTATGCATTTTTTTCTGTATCATGCAGGGTATTCTCTGCCTTAAGCACCAAGTTTAAATCAGTATAAAAACACTAGGCTTATGGTAATTGAGAAGTGAGTTATTTTCACCATGTGGATCTAGATTTCTGGAAGCAGAAAGATTCCAAACCATTTAAGAAAAGTGACCATAATTCAGAGTTTGGCATTCTTCCAACAGTAAACTCTTCCAGATCTACTTTGCTTGAGATGTATTTTGGGTGTCATTACGCTTTTTTATTTCCTCAGAAGATGCTTTGGAGAATGTAGTAGGAAAATGTATTTTACTTAGAAAGTTTTTCTTAAAAAAAAAAAGCAAACACACAAAAATTCCTAAGCTGTACTTAGTGAAGAGGCCCTCAAGATCAGCCAAGAAACAAAAAGCAATCTCAACCCTTTGCACAAACTATTTTTTATCTCCAGGGAAACAGGCAGATTAAGTGTGAAGGTGCAACAAATACCAAAGGGACCACTTCTTTCCAAGTGTGCTCAGAGTTCAGTGTGCTGAACAGCTGCAGAAACTCCTGGGTCCACTGCACTACATGGTTTCACCTTTCATTGCAAGGAAGGACATGTTCCTAAGCCTTACACAGACTTGAGGCCTGAAAGCCTGGCCAAGTTTGGGAAGAAGAGGAGCCCTCTCAGAGCTCAAGAGCCTTCTTGCTCTTTGGAACATTTCCACGGCAGGTCAAGTTTGACAAGAGTTCAGCTCAAGTTGAACACACTTACACACACACTTGCACAAATTATGTGAGCAATCAGAATCCATGTGAACACAGCTCAACCATCTACAAGGTTTTTACATGCAAGGTCAAGCATCTCATCCAGAGGATTTTGGTTTTTTAATGAAAAGCTTAGGAAACACACAAATCTGTCTCTTCAATTTTTAATATTTTTTAAATGAAGTTTATTCTTAGCACATGGCTTTCTATACAGCCATATCACAATTTGTACAGTTGCATATGGGTCTAAATGCATCCCCCTCTCCCTGGAGATAGTTCCCCAGAATAAGACAACAGTATCTCAATAACAATATCTTAAATAGATGCAAGGAAGGGAAACTAACAGTCACACCTACCATCAAGGTCTACACATTTTGAGTATTAAATAATCTTGTGAGGTCCACAGTATCTACTCATTTATTCAGTTCATTACAAGCTTGTATGAGCTGCCTTAGTGGATGAGGGAAAGGTAAAGTAGACGGAAAAGGGTCTGTTTTCATCTGCTTGCACAAATATACACGTCCCCAGTCAGCACACACTGTCCAGCTGACTTTAGACATCTCAAATGTATTTGGTGCCAAGTGGTCCTTCTCAGGTATCCAAACTTGGCAGCCTTCTTCAGACCAGCAGATTGTTCCACTAAACAGCATCCTGAACAACTTTCCCCTTTTGGGTGGCAACCAGCACATGCTCTTACCGGGGATAATGTCTTCTTTTTTGGTTATCCTTTTCACCAAATTTAGTTTTATTTTGGTGTTTGTAACAACGGAGAGATGGGAGAGGGATGGATGGGGAAATGGGTAGAAGAGAAAAGCAAGTAAGGGACAGAAACTGAACTAGGTGTCTGGAAGATTATATAGAGGAGGGAACGGGTGTGGAGGCACCAGGGAGGGAGTGGGGGTGGGGGTGCGGGCTCTGAGTTTGTGCTTTCCCGGGTGGACCCGAAGAGGCCGGGGTGGAGGTTGGGTTGGAGGATCGCATCTTGGTGTTGGGCAGTTTGCGATCTTTCTTCCACTTCATTCTCCGGTTCTGAAACCAGATCTTGACCTGGCGTTCAGACAAGCAGAGTGTGTGGGCGATCTCAATGCGGCGCCGCCGGGTCAGGTAGCGGTTAAAATGAAACTCTTTCTCCAGCTCCAAGACTTGCTGCCGGGTGTAGGCGGTTCGAGAGCGCTTGGGTTCCCCTCCGTTATAACTGGGGTTGACTGAGCGCCCAGAACCCCGAAGGAGAAGCCCAAGGAGGAGGGAGTGGAAGAGAGAGAAAGGAGGAGGAGAGAGAAGATAGGGTGGGGAAGAGCAATTGGACATCATCATTATATAATAAGCTGACACCAAGTTCACGCAAGATACATAAAACCGCAAAGAAAATGTTTCACAGGCTATTGACAACGGGAAACACCCGAGAGCCATAAAGAATGGTGCTGGGCATTGGGGCTAAAGAAAAGCTTCAAAGACACATGGCCCGAAGCCTCTGCCAGGGCAATTAAATTTATGGGGGCTATAATTACTGCCCTAACAGTTTGGCGTCTCGTAAATCTCCCGATAAAGGGACCCTGGGTACAAAAGGGTTCTCACGTGGGGATCAGGCTGCTGGCAGGCGCGCGGGCACCCACACCCCGCAGCAACCAGGGCCAGATGGGGGGCTCCCCTCCCGAGGCCTCCTTCCCCGACCCCCGCCCTGACCCTGAACCCAGGCCTGGCCCCACCCCACCCTCTCGCGCCTCCCCAGCGGCGCCACGTACCGGCGCTGACATGGATCTTCTTCATCCAGGGGTACACCACGGGCTCCTTGCCCTTCAGGCCCGGCGGGCCCTTGTCCGCCAGCAGCAGCGGGCACGCGGGGGCGCTGCCCCCTGTCGGGACTCCAGGGGTGGCGGGGGCTGCCTCGCAGCGCCTTGAGGGCGCGGGGGGCGCCGCTCGGTGCTGCGGGGGAGGCGGCGGCGGGACGTGGCTCGCGTGCAGGCCGCGCGCCGGGCCCTTGGCAAGCGCAGGGGGCTGCTCGGGCTGTGGGGGCCGCCCGGGGCTGGCACCGCTGCGGTAGCCGTAGGGGTAGGTGGTGTCCGCCGCCCCGGACGCCGGGTAGAGGGCGGCCGCGGGGTAGGCGGGCTCACGGGCCGCCCGCGGCGCGTAGTAGGAGGCGGGGGGCTCGCGGCTGCCGCCCGCGTGAGGGAGCTGGGGCTGCTGCGGCGGCAGGTGCTGGGTCGCGGGTGCCGGGGGCTGCTGGTAGCCGGGCCCCCCGCCCGGGCCTCCGTCTCCGCCGCCCGGGCCGCTGTGATGCGCGTACTCCTCGAAGGGAGGGAACTTGGGCTCGATGTAGTTGGAGTTTATCAAAAACGAGCTCATGGTCATTAATTTGTGAAGTGCAAAAATACTAATTTTTCTCGCGTTGTCGTTTTTCTGGGCTCGCGGAGGCCCCTCCCCCTCTCGCCTCGCTTCCCATCCCCCTTTCCTCTGCGCCCTTCCCCTCCCCCCCGCTGTCAAGTGCCCTCCCCTCCCCCTCCCGCAGACGCCACCACCAAAGTTCGAGCCGCTCCTCCCCCGCCCGCACGCGAGCGAGCGCGCGCGCGCGGTTAGCCTCGGCCCGCGCGGGCCCCGCCCCCCCACGTGCAACGCCCCCACCAATGGGCGCTCCGCGCGCGCGGACCCGGATCAGGAAACGCGCGGGTGGGTGATGGATGTCGCTGTCCCGCCCGAGGCGGGGGCAGTGAGCTGGGGCTTCGGTCCTCCAGCTCCACTGACTTGAATTCCTGCGGGGAATTCAAGGCTTGGCAGGCTGTGGGTCCTCTGGGGCCGGATGCGGGTCCTACTTCTGACCTGCCCATCTGAGTAGCTAGGCTGCTGTGGCTCCGCGCTGACCTACGGTTCAGTCAGGCCGCGCAGTAATCCAGGGTTCGAGGCTAACTGGGAGAGGGAAGGGCATTGAGACCAAGGGACATCCCGGTTTTTATCCTAGCCTTGGAATAAAACGAATAAGTCCAACACACCCATTTTCTCACCCGTTGATGCCTTCCCCACACACTGCGGTCTGGTCTCTGGTCTGCTGCAGAGTCCTGGCTTTGAGAAGTCTGGCAGGAGCCTCAAAGAGTGGATGGGAGGGCAGCTTAGAGAAATCTACACAAGGATGTAAAGCGGGGCCGTCCCGATGTAACCAGATGGACACTTTCTATATATTTTTTTTCTTTTTTATTCTTTTAGAGACTGACTCTCTTTACCTAAAAAATTTTTGGGGTCCTTCCTAATAGCATCTAATTTGACGGAGGTGTGGACATGAAAACTAAATATGTCTGTTTTTACTAGATGCGACTGTGAGAGACCGGCCCAAGGATGGGAATGGATAGAAGCAGTGCCTCCACAAAACCGAGCTTTGAAACCAGTACCTTCCTATTTTAGAACAATTTCCCAACAAGCCCTTGTCGGGTCTGACCGCGAATAAGGCTTTTCAAGCTAAGAATTTTCTTTCTTTTCTGGACGCTGCTTTCTCAAAATGCATCTGGGGCTAGAGTTATATTTACAGGATGGTCTATAATTTTTGAATTGCTGAAAATTAACATATTAACGATATCAATAGTTCCGGAAGGAGGGAGAGGGAACTGTTGCCTGCCATTTGGTAATTGAAATTTGATGGGTAAACTAATTATGCCATTATTAACAAATAAATTACTTATTCATTCTACCTAATGTTGATCTTTGGAGTAAATACTGATACCTTATTCTTAATGTGTGCCTTCCCTTTTCTGACTTATAAACACACCTAGGACCTATACTTTTCAGGCTAGATTAAAGCAGTGTAAACTAGCATTGTCACTATTCTAAAAATAACTTTCATGTTGGCATGCAAAACAAGGATATTTCAGCTGGTTCACCTTAGTTGAATTTTCAAAGAGCAGTATAAACATTTCTCACAACTAAGTCTGGAACGAAGACAAGGAAAGTTACAGCCCAAGCCTGTAGACACTTCAAAAAGAATGTCAATTCTATCTTCATTTATATCGGTTACTCATATGAATTACTAAATGCTGGAATATATCCATTTGATGGATAGTCATTTAATGCTTAGCCACATAAAGCCTATTATATGGGACTAATCTTTAAGCTAATTTAGGAAAATAGGTTAAAAAAGGGATCATGTTAGCTCTCTGACTGGAATCTGAAATTGCCCTGAAGTGGTACAAAGAGGTTTTCCACATTGGGTGTATGTGAGGAGTGCTGTCCATCGATGTGAGGTGCTCTGGAAAAATTTTGTTTTTAATGAAATCTGAGTCAGACAGAAATCAACACTGACTGTACTCTTTAGACATCCTTTCTAGACTGGGGGGAGGGATCTAGCCTGTAATACAGCTGCCTAAACCAATACCTCTCCCTGGTAAGAAAAAAAAATAATATGTACATAGAGTGTAATTATATAATGTATAGCAATATCAGAAATCTCCCTCTGACTTATAAACATACCTAGGTCCTCTACTTTTCAGGCTAGATTAAAGCAATGTAAACTAGCATGGTCGCTATTCTAAAATAGTGTCTTTCTAAGCTTCAGGGGGAGAAAAAGCATGACAAGGAAATCTTGTCTTTCTCACATCGTCAGCTTTGAGTCCCAGGGTCTTAACTATGTCTATTTAAAATTTACAGACACTGAAACACAGCATTCACGTTGTTCAGCCTCAGAACCTTCTACGGAGTTTCTATTTTTAAGTATTAAGTAGACACAGGCACTGATTTGTATACGGTTACCCTAAATGAGTTAACTGTGCCTATGTTTTGTGCAGTCCTATTACTTTAGGAAGATGGGCTTACACAGAATTCCCCCAAGGCCTGTAACTTGTCTTTGCGGTTCCTATCATAAACACAAACGGAGCCAGGACCACCAAGTGTTATCTCACACACGGACATTTTGACATTTTACTGCAAGATTTATGGCTATAATAAACAATCTCAGTACCTTTTCTGAACCGTACACAATCTCCCTTTGCAAGCCATAGCATAATTCTGTTGAATCAAATAATCTTTTGAAAAACACCTTTAAGAAAACACCTCTTGCCCTCATGTAAGATCCAAAACACCAAAGGGAAACCAGGAAGATACTAACTCAATTTAAAAATAAACTGAAGTTTACCAGAAGCATCTTGCTTAAGAAAAGATAGGATGCTCTGAAATGGGGCAGAGAGGGAGCAAGCTAATCTTCGCACACCAACTGGCTCCAGTCCCAAGCAGGGTGAAAACGTTATCCTTTTCTTGGGAAACTGGTAAGCACATTTGTTCATTTCCACATGGAGGAATAACATATATTCCCAACAAAAGCTTTCTTAAAATCCCATTAAGAGAAATAACTTTTCATGGTGTCCTCACATCCCAGATGCAGAAGGAGAGCGAAGCGAGCCCAAGGGAGAGGGAGGGTGAGAGGGAGGCAGTGTTTGCAGCTTGGTTTGAATCTGATTTGAATCATTTTGAATATATTTGGAACAGCCTTCCCTCTTGAATGCAGCCCCGTCCCAAGTTTCAAAGTGACCGAACAGTGACACCATGTGCATTTTGTTTCTTATTAATCTTACACATTGACAGTCTTTGTTAAATCACAAGGCGCGCCCTTCACCAGCCGACATTTTCATATTTGTTAGACGCGCTGACCTGAAGTTCACCTCGGCCTTGGACTTTGCACTTCTAAAAGGTCTATACAGTGTCTCTTAAAGAGCAGAGTGCTTTGCCCAGGTCATTCCTTCTCAGGAAAAACCAAGGGAAAAAGCAAAGGAAATGTAAACATCATGGAATGTATTGACTGTATTTGTCCTTTGTTCTTTGGGGCCAGACTCAACCAGACTGTTTTCTATCTGTCCGTCTCTGGAGCAAACTGGAGAAAGGCAGAAATTCAAAATGCCTGACGGTGGCATTTAAGGTCTTCCCCTCACCTACCCTAGACATCATTGTAGAGTAATAACACTTTACCAAACATTTGACCCATTCATTGTTTGGAGGTAGTTTCCTAGCAGCCGTTTAAAATGATGAGCACAATCCAGGCATAAGGACTGCAATTCATTTTGGAATTTCACATAAATTTTAAACAGGATTGTGTGAGAGGCCTAAAGATCAAAATCTGAATAAAGAGATTTCTAAAAACACTGTAACTTCTGGCAGTATCATTTTCTTTCATTTTAAAGACTAGCTTGGAAGTATCTATGAGTATTGAAGCTAAAATGATTCTAAGATGTGTTACACTGTTTTAACAAAAAGTACAATGAAAAGTTTCTCTCAAAGAGACATAATTGTCTGCATAAGAGAGGAAGTTTTGGGGCTTTTTTCATTTCACTAGCCCAGATGTGGTAATGTGTTCACTACTGTAAGGGCACTCGCCACAGTTGTTTCCTTTCTTCTATTTCATCTGGCAAAACCCCATTTGGCTCTAAGCTCTTGGCCAGAGTAAAAACTTTACACACTGCCCAGTAGAAGCACCTTGATTACTTCCATGAAAGCAGTGTTTGGGAAATATTTACTTCACCACTGAACATACCTGGCACTATTAAACCTAATCAACCTGAATACATTGGGATGATCTTAAACATCTCTGCAAGAGTCTACATTCTAAGTAGTTGGATTATCTCCAGAATTAAGAAGAAAACCCTAGGAAAATGGTTTCTTTTCCCACTGTTTTCCTACAATAATCACTTGAAGGTCAATACATAGAAAAAAAGATGCATAGAAAAATAGATTCTAATGCCATCAACACTTAAAGCTAATCTAGATCCATATAATATTGTTTAGCTCTTCAGTTCCAATTCACACATTTCTCATGGTTCCAGTCTGCTTCTTTAATATACTATTCCCTTTCTTTTCTACTCTCCCACCCTTCCTCCTCGGCTTGCTTTCCCCTCTCCTCAGCCACCTCCCCGCAACTCCACATGTATTTTCAAGAAGTATTTTCTGGAGAACAGAAGTCTATCATGGTGGTCTTACAAAGTGGCCTGGCAATTATGGATTCTACCTTTCTGCATTCTCTACAGTTATTCACTTGTAGATTGTAGCATTTATTTTAAACTCAGTTGTGGTTTTTAATAAATATAACAAAAATTTTCAGCAATTTCAACAATGTGAATGTTTTCCTCACACCAATCAGCATTGTCTCACTGGTGGTGGTGGTGGGAATTCTGTTCCACCTCCTTCCCTCCTCTTCCCATCTCTAAGAATCACTTGCATTCAGTGGGTTACAATTTCAGAAAAAGCATTTTCTATGTTTGAAAATTGCAAAGAACACATTTTTCAAAAAGTGGCTGCATTTGCCCTTATTCTTGCAGGTTTTAGGAGTCACTGTATGTGCTCAAAGGAAAAAAAATAACTCTGGTCAATCCAAATTCTCTTTTTCAAATTAAAGAGGTTTGCTATGCTGTTCTCTTGCCTTTGAGGGTATAAATGCAACATTGCGAACTTGCTACATTATTTCTTAAAGGCCCACTACTGAATTTTGAGCATTTTTATTTGGTGACAA